AAAAAAACAGAAAATCAATAGAGGAAAGGAATTGTACGAAGGTCCTCTGTACGCAAAAGTAGTTTAGCAGCAGCCACATTTTGACTGTTCCACTACTCTACTGTCATTGTGACCGGTGTGTACGACACAAGTAGCAAGCAATAAATTTTATTTTCGGTCTGTAAGAATAACTAAATTGTGCGCGAGTGCATTCATTTTGCAAACGTTAGCCACCCACACCACATCATCCAACAACACTGGCATTAATCATCACCCGCACCACCACGACCACCCACCTGGAGGCAGCGAGCAGAAAACACATATTTCGTTTGAAAAGTGGTTTTGTGGCGGCGCAATTTAGTTTCTTACTTTGCCTTTGTTTTTGGAGAATTTGTTAGTTTTGTAAGCGATTTTAGTTTTTTAGAGTCGCCTGCAAAGTGTGGAAATTCGATAGAAAGAAACAATTTTTAAGCTAAAGATTGAGAGAGCCCCCACCCATTGAAAAGACCGAGCAATCGCTTTTGTGGTGCTTCTCGCTGATATCGATTCACCTACCATAGAAAAGGTAGCGTAAGCTTAAAAGTTCAATCAAATCAAATTCTCCACCTGTGGCTGAAAATAAAATCAAACAAATTTTTTATTGGCCTAGTATTACCAAAATATTCGTATTAAAAAAATATTCGTACAAAAATAAAAGCGACAAAAGCGCGCACAAGTCGTCGCACATTTTTGAGCATTGCAATTTTACAAATCAGAAATTTCCAATTTGTAACAATAATTTCAAAATATCTTAAATCCAACAACGCATATTCAATTCACCAAATTAGGTACTAGGCCAGCCCTCACAATGTCTGTCCCTGTACGCTACTCTGCTGCCGCCAATTACGCCGTCGTTGATAGTGGTTTGTCAAATACTCTACAACAAGAAGAGCAATACCACCAATACCAACACCAGCAACAACAACAGCAACAGCAGTTGTATTGCCAGTTTGTCGCCAACGGTAACGCTAACGCTAACGCCAACATCATCCAAAGCAATATCAATAACAACAATTTGAGTTTGGGTGGTGCTTGCAACAACTACGTTTACGTGAACGGCAACATAAACGGCTTTGAGGTGCAGCAGCAGTTGATGCAGCAGCGGTCATCGATGTCGTCGTCGGTTTCGCCAACAGCTGGATTGCCCGCCAACATCAACATCAACAACCATCACCAACACCAACACCAACACCAACACCAACACCAACACCACACCTCCATCGACAACAACAACGTTCAAAATTCGCCCTCAGCCATGGACAATATGAACATCAATAATATAAATGTGCTGCAAGAGGAGGAAGAGCATCATCATCATCATCATCAGTTACAGTATCATCATCAACAACAACAACAACATTTCGATAATCATTTGGCAATGAGCGCTGAAGCGTCGGCATGCGAGCAATCGGAATTGTCGTCGCCGAATGGTGCCTCGATGGGCGGCGGTATGGCAACTGTGGCGGAAGCTACGAATCCAACGATGTTGGCAGCAGCATCAGCGGCGGTGGCGGCAGCAGCAGCAACGGCGAATGGAAGCGGCATTAGTGCAGCAATGCACGAAGCTGTGGATGTAGATGTGGATGAGTGGAGGATGTCGTCTGACGAGGGCCGGTATGGGACACCGGGTGCTGCTGGCTTGGAATATCAAAAATATGAGCTCGAACAACAACAACAACAACAACAATCACCTGCCAACATGATGAACCAACCATTGGAGTCTTCGTTAATGGACAATGAGAATAGGAATATGAATATGAAGAAGAACAACAACAACGCCAGCATCAATATGAATATGAAGAATGGCAATGGCAAGAAGAACAGCAACAACAACGCTGCAAATACCGATGCCAATAGCGCCAATGATGCGCCCAACCCGACAAAGAAGGAGAACGAATTGATCGGGCTATCTTCGGACGAATTGTATCGTATGTTGAGCGAGTACAATGTGTTGCAGGATAAATACCACACTGTATTGTTGCTGCCGAGAGAATCCAAGGTGAGTTGTGCGTTAAAGAATTTCACCGAAGCATGAAAAACTTATATAACTAAATAGAGCTCAAAATTAAAAAATCTGAAAAAAAATAAAAATAAACTTTTTCGCCCCTTTTGCAGCGTGAAGTGACAGCCGGTGGACGTGATGGCTCCGCGTATGTTTTACGTTGCCTTAAAATGTGGTATGAGCTGCCCTCCGATGTTTTATTCTCAGCAATGAGCCTTGTGGATCGCTTCCTGGATCGCATGGCAGTGAAGCCGAAGCATATGGCCTGCATGAGTGTCGCTTCGTTCCACTTGGCCATCAGGCAGTTGGGACAAAAAGCAATACCCGCGGAAGAATTAGTAACTATTTCTCAGGTAACACTCAACAAAGTAAGTGTCACGAAAAGTTGATTTTCATTATTTATTCAAAACGAAAGTATGTAGTCTCTAGTTTTTTCTCCAAATATGTATGTATATACACTGAAGCATAAAAGTCTAGACACAGGATATTTTTCGCAATATGTGCAAAGTTTTTTATATTGAATTCTTTCCGCTAATTTTTTATAAAAATATAGTTCATACCACAAAAATACATAAAAATAAAATTTCTAAACTTTGCGCAAAAACTCAAGCGATTTTCATGAAAATTTTAAACTTTTTAATCGTATTTAAAAAAAAATTGATTATGTAATCTTGTAGCCTATAAAATTTGAGTATAATAAAGTATAAGTTTCAAGTTTTTTTTTTTGCTGATGGTGTCACGCATTTTCCTCCATACAAAATATGCTCGCCCAAACTTATTAAAAATCGATTTAAAAAGTGAAAATTTTAACAAAAATGTATTGAGTTTTGTATAAAGTTTAGAAATTTAATTTCTATTTGTTTTTTGTAGTGTGAAATATATTTCTATAAAAAATAGCGCAAAATTTTAAAATAAAAAACTTTGCACATATTGTAAAAAATTCTCTGTGCCTAGACTTTTGTGGTTCAGTGTATGTAATTAGTAGCATTTAAAGAAAAAAGAAAATAAAACATAAAGTAGATCTAGCTTGTTGAACTAACAAAAAAGATCTGCTGTAGCTGACAGTGCAGCGCAGTCGAGTAGCTAGAGAGGGTTTCGTTCATATTTTTTTTTTCTATTTTCGAAGCAAACACTTTGAATAAATAAAGAAAACTAACTCTTCGGACACAAGCCTTTAATCGTATGTAGCGTAAAGTGTAGCCACTTTATAAAGAAAATGAACACTTTGATTTTCACCGCCATCGATTAATCGATATTTTGGAATTTCCCTTTCTTACAACAGTGTGGTTGCACTGCCGGTGATTTGGAACGTATGGCCGGTGTTATTGCCAACAAATTGGGTGTTCAAATGGGCACCACACCGGTCACAGCCGTCACCATTCTGCGCGTTTTCTACGCACTTTTCCGCAACCTGGCCAAGGAGGTGTGCGACGAATTCTATGAATTCTATCAGCGTATGATCAAATTGGAAGATTTAGAAAATCGTTTGGAGAATTTGCTGTGCGATGTGAAAACAACCGTTATTACGCCATCAACATTGGCATTGATATTGATGTGTTTGCATTTGGATTTCCATATCAAAGCGTCGTACAAGCGCGAACGGCCCGAATTGAAGCCCGTATTTGAGTACATACTCTTCCTGCAGCAGTACTTGCGGGTAAGTTGGTTGGCTGGCCCACTAACGTATTTTTAAGTCTGCGCTTTCAAACTATAAATATATGAATGTTAATTTGTTTTTTTTTTTGCTATTTTGATTTCCGTTAGATTCCCGATCGTGTATTCAGCTGCGGCTTCACCATTGTCGCTGACATATTGTCTCACTACAATGGCCAGAACAAGCAGCCCTACAAGCAACGTCTGGTTTGGAAACTATCCAGCCGTACACTGAAAGTACTGCGTCCAACCAATCGTTTTTCAACCGATCTACCCACCATCGATGAGGGCCAAGCGAATGCCATGGATGACGGCTGTCGTTCAAGGTGAGTTTACGAGAGGGGTTTAATATATTTTTTTTGTTGTAGTTTAGTTCATCACAAAAAATTTAATCAGATCTTATTTGGCTCTACATTCTTATCGCCATTGGCGGACATAGCCGATAAAAGATCAACACATTGCTAGAACTCGCGGAACAGTGCAACACGAGTAGGATTTAAGAACTATGCTTGCATATTATTTACTGGCGAAACTAAAGAGCATTTGTGGCCTATTTGAGGCATCGACTAAGCTCCAAGCTAAGCTAACTAAATTTAATTAGGTCGGCATACAAGTTCTTAAAATTTTGTATTATTTGCTATTTACTAGCAGATGCCAAGCTGATATTTTTATATACATATGTTCTGGTAGAGGATAGCTAAACGATTTTTAATTTTTACTACCTTCAAGTTATTACAATTTACGATAGAATGATGCATAAAAAATGCACGACTTGTATGCCTTTCAATTCCGTATGTCTTATCAAATCTGTTATATTATTATTTCTGATGATTTTCTATAACTATCGAGGTGGAAAGAGTTCCTAAATCAAATAGCTAAAATCAACAAAGTATTTGTGCCGCTCTGCCTGGTTGTTATCATATACATATACATATATATATATATGATTATATAAATAAATGTCGCCTTTAGGAGTAGATTCGGGAAAAATATTTTCAACAAAAATCTGTTTACTTTCGAAAGCTAATGTGTGTGTTTTCGTTTATCGGTGCTGACGCGTGTAGATTCGTCTCGAACATACATTATATACAAACATACATACATACATATAAATATTTATGCTTATATGTTTACGTAAATTGTGTATGCGCCCCGAATTTTGAGTACTTCCAGATGTGTATAGCCGAAAAAAAACATGCAAATTAAAAAAAACCAAAAAGTTTCGTACATATATAGGCGAGAATAATTGTTTATGCGCCGACTTGTGTTGGGCAATTTATATATATAGTATTTTGTAGGTACGCCTTTATATACTACATATAAGTATACATGTACACATCCCCTGTGGGGAAAATCTCTAGTTCGGAACTGGTGCGCTTCTAGTACATTTAGACCCAGTACTGGTTCGCGATAAATCTCTTTTGCATGCAAGCAACTGGCGAATTTAACATGGCGATGTCCTAGGAAGTGTCAATTGCCCCCCGCTGCATCCCTTTTTCGATAGTTCCGAACTAGTCCGAAATTCTATAGTTCCGAACCAGTTCTAAAATCGACAGACGAAAGAAAAAAGTATCATGATTTTGCAATCTTTTTGGTTCTTTCGTGTGTGCGATTTTAAATTGTTTTGGATGAAATGTGTTTTCAATTTGAAATTAAATTTGTTTGAATGATTGTAAGAAATGTACGTTTACATACCTTTAGCTGTAGCTGAGTTTGCAGAGGTGCGCGCTGTTATTTCTTAGATTCCAGACTGTCCCAAGATGTTGAAATGTTAACACAAATTTTAGTTTTGTATTACCAAGCTATGAAAAAGCATCTGCGAAGCACAGAATAGAAGCGTACGAAAATAGAAGTGAACGAAAAAGTCGCCGAACACATATCTATGTAAAGTAAACAAGCCATCCGCTGCATCCCTTATTCGACAGTTTCGAGCTAGTTCTAAATTCGACAAATAAGATCTAGTTCGTTCTGCATCCCTATTTCTATAGTTCCGAACCATTTCTAAATTCGTCACTTTATTAGATATAGATTTCTACTGAAAAAAACTTAAAAAAAAATAGTTTTTTAAAAGTACCACTTTTCGCCGATTTTGGACTGGTGGGGATCTAGTTCGTATCGGACTAGTTCCTTTTTGGCTATAAAGACCTAGTACGGAACTAGAAATTTGATTCACTAGTTCGCGGTTTCCCTACAGGGTCTATCTTTTCATTCATATGTACATACGTATGTATGTAGCTGCGCGAAAACATCCGCTTGTATCCGCACTACTTACACATACGTACATACACATATTTTTCTACATGCCATGTATGTTTAGTATTGCTTTTTTTACAACACTTTCTGGCAGATAAATATTGTGCTTTTGCTTTCGATTGGCAGCGGCATAAATAAGTAGGTGTGGTGTATGCCAAAAAAAAAAGCAAGAGAAAATACATACGCCGTTAAAGAAAAAAAACGGGAATTTTTAATAATTGTGTATGGGGAAAAAATATGTATTCTAGAAAAATTTTTATCCCTCAATCCCACTTGGCAGATCTTTTAAATATATTATTTTACTAAATCAATCTCTGCATTTCTTAATGCTACTATCAGCAAATTCTTTGCGTTGCTTACGTAAATTTCTTTCATAAATACTTTACGTACTATTTGTGTAGGTGTATACAATTCGTCATAGCTGCTTACGTAAATTTTAAAATTAAGAAAAGAGAAACTAAGTATTATCTTAACAGAGTTCAATGTACTCAAATAAGTCTTGTGATATATTTAAGTTGGCGATTTTTTTTTAGTCCATTGTTAAAATGCGCTTTCTTCGGCCATTGGCGAACGCTATCAGCAAATCAATCATTTCTTATCATTTGTTATCAACGCCAAATTTTTTGGAAACTTTCATTGTGAACAAAGGGAGGGGAGAGGAGTGTGGCAAATAGGTCGGGTAGGTGTAGAGCCTAATTGATTAGTCTAGTCGAATGAGTTTATTTTCTTTGTACAGTGTTGTTGTTACTGCGAAATTAGAGAAATACATATGTATGTATGTATGTACATGACGTTATTTTTTTTCTATTGACAGCATTGTTGGCGTAAAGAAAACAAAAAAATTTAAAAGTATTTTCTTGTACATAATAATAATAACTTGTGTTTCATTTGCGCAAAATTTTATGAGTCAGTCACGAGGCAGGCCTTTTCTAAGTTTAGAGGTCAAGATCAAGGTGAATTCTTTTTTTTTTTAAATAAATGACACGGTTCAACAAAATTTGAACGAGTTTGGTCTCGAAAACGTGAACCGACCATATCTTATAGATTTTTTTATGCTGATTTCAAGTTTTTTTTCAATTTTTTTCTAGTTTTTGAGAATAAAAAAAAAAAAAAACTGTTGAAGTGTAAAAAAATGGGGAGAACATCTCAGCTGAGTTTGTTTTACTTTTCCGTGATTTTTTTTTCACTGAACTCATCGAAATGAGGTACAATCCATCAGATGAATTGGATTTTCATTAATATGCTGTTTTATTTTCTTTGGTAAAACTACGCCCAAAAATTCATTTTTTTTTAAATTGAGAAATTAATTTTTTTTTTAGCTTAATAAGTACTTGACGGCGGTTCAAAACTTGCTTGCACCCACCCCCTTCGTCCTAGAAGAGTTTTGTTTTCACCGTCACTCAAGATTTTTACTATCTAGAATTGCTCGAATGGAAATTAGGCACACAATTTTTTAAATTAATTTCATTTTATTCATTACTAAAAAAAAAAAAAATATTTCTTCTTTTATTCTTTCAGAACCGAAAGCATTAGCTCCGAGGAGGAGGAGGATTGGCCAACGTCGCCTATAATTCCGATCTTTGAACAGTGTTAGTACAGTACATACACACGCATTACAGAATGCGATCAATACAACAAAATTTTTGCTTACGAACTCAACAAATAACTGCAGGATATTTTTTTCGGTTAGACGGTTTGAGTAGAGGAGTACGCAAAAAAAAAAAACAAAAATACAAAAAACAAAAAGGAAGAACACAATCATTTGTTTCACACAGAGGCGCAAAGATGTTGTGTAAATTTTGCAATCGATAGCCAACGGAGAAAATTGTAAAGTGTAGCTGAAGAGCCGGAGTGCAACAGCAACAGCGTAGGAACGAAAACTCAAACAGAAAATAGTTGTAAAATGAAAAAAAGACATCAACAACAACACATATCCTGCATAACAGCAAGAAATTAAAATCATAACAGCCTATTTGTTTTTTGGAAAAACCTGCAAAATAAGGAAAAAAAATATTTGAAGCAAGCAAACGGAGTTCAAGGAGAAGAACAAGAAAACAACACGTTTACGTAAGCGAGGAGTCAGTCAACAGCAGCGGTTAAAGGCGCGAACAACAACTTAAAGCTAATAAGGTTTTTGTTTTTTGTTTTTTGATTTAACAAGAACACCCAAATCCCCCTCCACTCTGCGATGTGTGTATATTTTGCTATGCATCATAATTACGGAAGATTTTTAAATTGATTTTTATATATGTATGTATGTACGTACGTAAGATAAGAAAAAGATAGAGCGAGAAAAGTAAAAAGAAAAAAATATATTAAAATTAAATGGGTTAGGTGGCGCGGTGCGGCGTATGACAACCGATACCGATGAGTCAGACAGTTAGAAAAGCGCGCGCGCATATTGTAGGGAAGATGTTTAATTCTCTTTCAATGCTTAAGGAAAAAACACGAAACAAACTAAAAAAGTTAAAAAAACAAAAAAATTCAAAAAATATATTACAAAAAAAAAAAAACCAAATAAATGTTGCGGACCATCATACCAAGGATTGATGCCGTTCCGGCGCATTTTTCGTTGATTGCTAGAAGTGTGGTAGCGAGAAATTCTTGGCAGAATTAAAAAAAAAAAACACAACACACTTCGAAATTATAATTTTTTTCTTCTAACAATCAACCAAATAAAATAAAAAACACCTACAAACAGTTGGTAAACATGTAAGCTACGCAGCGCATGCCACTAAATTTTTAGGTGCGCATGCGCGGCTAGCTGGCACGTTTGTTAGCTGCTTTTTGATGAGATGAGCATGTGTACGCTCAGAGCGGTACAAAGCATTTTGGGTTCGCTCACGCAATTACAACAAACAAAAAAAAATATATACATATTCCAAAAACAAAAGTTTATCGAAAGAAAAACAAAAAACCCAAACAAAAAAATTATTAACTTTAACTAAGTAATTATCAAAGAAAAAACTACAATCTACAATTAATTTGAGTTCTTTTATGTTCAACCTATGTTTGTATTATGATTTTATTTAGTACTTTGTTCAGTTGTTTCTGGTAGTAAGAATGCATAAATCAAGCATAAATAGTATTTAGCAAAACAAAACAAAAAAAAAAAAAATCAAAAACTAAAGAATTAAAATAGACAAAAATCATATTCAAATAAATTATACAAAAGCAAAACCAAAACGTAAATATATCAACACTACTACATATAGCAAGTCAATACTGTAATTGTGTTATCTCTGTAAACAATAAAAATTTAACTACAAATTAAAAACGCAAAAGATATACTAAAACTTCAAAATTACCGTTTTATTCCAAATTTCATTTCGTTTCTTCAATTGATAGTGATGCGGAACTTGTAAAAACCAGAAAACTTGCAAAAAAAAAACATAAAAAACTAAAAAGTACAAAAATATTTTATTATTAGCTTCAAAACAAAAAAAAAAAAATGTTTATTTTACGTATAATTGATTCTCAAAAAAAAAAAAATGTAAATTTAAATTTGATTATGACGCGTTAAGTTTTAAGGATAACGAGCTGGTTTTAAGAATTTTCAAACTGACGCCTACACTTAGGTTAAGAAGAAATCAGAGTAAAAAAACGAAAGCTATAAATTTTAAGCGCGCCAGTTTGTGGCATAAATTGTGTACAAACAGTATTGAGAAAATGAAAAAAAAAATATACTGCCCCGTTTTTGTAATCAACTCACTTCAAACCAATACTTCTGAACATAATTCAGGCCACAAACGCTAGCGATAGCAACTAATTTCAGTAAACAGAGCAGCAAGCATTTTGATAATTTCGATAACTTCATTTGAGGTCATAAAAATATGTTCTTGTTGAATAACAGACGAAAAAATAACGAAGTGAAATATTTTTTCAAACAAATGGACACACAAATACAAGTACGATCTGAAAGTATGTCCCTTTTTTTTTTTGAATTCATAAACCAAAAACCTTTGCTGTCTGGGGTTTGTATTTCTAAAGCGATTAGCTTTAAGACAGTCAGCGGTCAGACATTTCGAAAAGCATCCTCCTTTGAAACACGAAGCGAGCGAGCGAGCGAGTGCAAATTCGAAATGCCTAACCTATAAACTATTATTCGAGTGAAAGCTAGCGGCGCGCGCGGGTGTACCGAATACGCGCCGCCCGCCTACGCTTGCAACACTTCGAACGCAATAAATATTCCATACCCGCGCATGTATATATGTACTTTTTTTCGTTGAAAATTTGCTTACAATCTTTAGCGCAATCTTTTTATGAGCCACACTTTGCGCACAATTCGCCTTTGGTGGCTGCTATCGGCTGCCGGCGAGCGCAATGTTGTGCATTGCATTTGAGTTGCGCGCACTCTCGAGACTGGTACTCGCAGAGTTTTCCTTTGAATAGAGCGAGGCAGCGTGAGCTAGCTGTGTCGTGATTCGAGAAGGCAAAGTGCGCGCGCTTGGCGGTGAGCTGACTTCATTTGCTGCGCGCACTCGCATCTCATTTCGATAGCGCGTCGTCTCTCCGCTGTGAGAAATTGTTGTTAATTTTTCCAGCGGTTGAGAGGTGTTCGGATTTCGCGGCACAGCTGTAAAGTTTTACAGTCCTATTAAAGTTGGAGACACAAGCCAAGTCGCTGCGGTTTCGGTTACGAATTCGCGGGAGTTCTCTTGTGATATCCTTCCTTCATTTGACTAAGCTTACTGTTACGCGTTGGTGATCTTACACGAGCCGACGTGATTGCGCTCACACACACAAGTGCTCCTCGAATCAAATTCAATTGAGTGATCTTTTTTTAATTTTTGCATATAAACTATTTTTGTATGCAAAGTATTTTTTTAGAATTTCTTTTTTGTTAATAATTTTATTTGCTAATTTTTAAGTATACAAACACACAAATGTAATACAACAATACATTGCAAGCAACGATTTGTAGCTTGTAAAAATCTTTTTTTTTTCGGATTCCAAAAATTTTAAATTATGCGGAAGAAGAGAAAGAAAAAGTAAAACCAGCGAACGAAAGCGCTAAAGCGCAACGATTCGCAGCAATTTTTCATATTTGATATTTGCCAAAAAGCAACAACTCAATAAAAATATGTATAAAGTGTGAGCATGAATATGTGCTGAGAGTATTTTAAAACTTCGAAAATGCGAAATTAGCAAAATGTAAGCAGCTTTTCCTTTTAATTACTTTTAATTACATTATGTAAACATGTTAATCATAACATTTTTTTTTTGTTGGATTTGAATGGATTATGATGCATACAAAAAAAAAAAAAGCGAAAGGAAAAATACACACAAAAGTGGAAACTAGAAAGTATTTGCAAAGCAACTTTTAATAATTTGTTAGTTGTACGGGCATAAAACTTGGAAACCATACATACATACATACATATTAAACTATATATATACTTGAATATGAAATGTAAAGACAACAAGTGTCCAAACAAAAATTAAGTAAACAATCAAACAACAACAAAACACATTCAAGTGCATACGTGGGAATTTAAGAAATTACTAAGTTTTTTTGCCAAACCATTTTTATTTTTTTTAAATATTTCGAATGATTTTATTTTCTATTTATTATTTTTTCATAGTTTTTAATAACAAAAAAAAAAACGAAGAGTGTGACAAAACGTACAGCCGCCTTGAGCAGTGGTTGAATACAAACGCTTGCACTTAATGAGTGCATAGAGTTGCACTTAAGCACTTAAGTATGTATGTAGTTAGGCGCGTTTTGTATTTAAACATGAAAAGCAAATAACAATAACGACTTGAAATGTTCAATGTTCATTTTTTTTTTTTAATTTTTCTTTCAATTGTGAAATTGATTGTGTATGAATGAAGGAAATAAATATGCACGTGTAGTTGGCATTGTCGCGTATCATTTTTTTGATACCGCGTTAAAACACACATTTCAAAAATGCCAATGCAAAACTACTATATTTAAAAACCAAAACAAAGCGCTTTTTTATTTTTCTACTTTAAACGGAAAGTTTCGAAAGCATAATAGGCAATTAATTTTTGATGTGTAAACATCTTGGCTCTCGGTATGGGAAAAATTTGCGTTAACCCAACAGAAAATTTGTAACTGTTTCTTGTGTAAACCAGCAGAATATTTATAACTGCTTCTTCAGTCTATAAATGAACTTTTCTGGACCAGTTCACACGCATTTCGGGTCCATTCCGCAGCTATGTAAGGACGATATCGGGTCTAGTTCACAACTATATCATAGGACCATTTCGGTACTAGTTCTGGACCATTTGAGACTAGTTCTGGATTATTTTAGGGCCATTTGGGGATGCTCTTGGATTTGCATATTCATTGCATTTGTAAATTCACAACAACAAAAAAAAATGCACACGGTTGCCATGGCAGCAAACATAAAATTTGCAAATGCAATTTCAACTGCAAATCCAAGACCATTGCCGCAGCATTCTGAACAGCCCCATTGAGTTGAGGGAAAGGATATCACCTCGATTTCTTCGGTGGTTAAATTATTTACGTCTTCCAAATCATCTTCAACAGGCACTTTGAAATAGCTTCATTGAATCTCATTTCAACAGAGCCTTCCTCCGGATTTCTGTGGGTGAGTAGAAAGCCGCGGCTCCAAGGAATATCCTTCGTCTCTTAGTAAAAAGCGTTTATGTAGGGTTAAGATATTAATATTAAATGAAATTTGTTTAGGAGCCAATACTTGTCTACGCCTCGCAAATATTCCTGTTCTAGATGAGTTCGAAGCTCGCGAGCGTTCCAAATAAAGGAAATCGGAATCGCATCGGAATCAGGATTCAATTCCGATTCGTAATTTAAATGGTGTTCCATAATCCGCTCGGAACTTTTGTTTCGAAGTTAATATCGAATCCGATTTTAGAAATAAAGGAACAAACCTACTTGGCAACTTCGTGCTGAAGTGTAAAAAGGGATACCAAATGAGTTCAATTGTTTTATTAGCCGAGGCGGAAAATTTTGCGCGATCGCAGCAATCCCATGGAATTACCGGACCCTGCGTAAGTAGTATGCAAAAAACTGTTTTCTTTTATGCCATTTTAAACTATAATTTTATATTTTACAGCCCTCTTGCACTCAATAGTATAAAAAAACCAGCGTTCCTCAAGATTTTGGGTGACTTGCAGCCTTATGTACAAAAAAAGTTCCATTCCCGCAGCATTGAAGCTTGTAACAACGCGAATGTACCAACATCGTTTTGGCAAGGAGCACCGGCTCCAAGGTGATATCAAAAATGGTAATCATTTCTGCTGGAGCGAAGGCTTTGCTCAAAGTGGATCAAATTTTTCATGTCTGAGCAAGAGAGAAGAGACGTCAAAAGTTTTTTCTGCGAACAACTTGGTATACCAGGCGTGATTGCATGTATCGATGGCGACCACAAGACGGGTCTTCTTTTACATATATATGAAAAAGTTGTTGTAAAATTAATTTTTCATTTATTTCCGATTTGCGATCATATGGTAATTAGAGCTATTGTTGCTTGGCTTCGTGGTTTTAGCGTTGACTCCTTTATTTGGAACATGAGCAATGCAAGACATTTTTTTATGACTTAAGTATCGAGATGGTGATCGCAATTCGTGGTTATTGGTCGATACCTTGCAGTAATGTATGCCTGCACCAATTTTTTTCGACACTAGTCTTGAATTTGACTATAAAGAAATTGAAGAAAACGATAGCCAAGTACGTAGATAAATAGTGAAGTCGATAGATTTGAGCCAACAGAAATTAACTAAATTTAAAAGTGAAGCACAACTAATTGGAGACGCGAAATTGCGAATAAAACGAGTGCTATAATTAAACAATAAACAATTTTTGCAAAAAAATTAACATTTTAAGACATTTTACTAGCTAGTGAAAACAAGCCTTATGTTTTGTTATAAGAAGCTCACCATAAAACTCCTCAAGCGGCTGATATGTATCCATTCCCGAAAGCTCGCCGGGAGTGTGGGAAAAAGCGATCCAAGGTACTTAGACCCACAAATGCGGGGCGCCACAGCAGCGGATGTGAGATGATTTCTTCTTCCATGCAGCTGATGCAGTAAGGGTCATCGATGAAACTCAGCCTTACCGCACGCTTATCTATCACGCAATGACCGAAAACGATACGAAAGAAAATTACGTGATACGTCGGTTAATATAAGCTGAATGGGACAAAGGGTACTATCACGTATGTCATAATCCGAAAAATGTATTTTTACGTGACGAATAGTACGATATCGTATGTGACAATTCGAGCCCTGTCTTTCTCTAACTCGAAGCACTGCTTCAAGGGTTCCCTGTCTTTCCAGCTCATCGGCCTTGCAGTTTCCAGCGATTTCTCTGTTACACGGAAAACAGACGAGCTTAATAGCGTAGGAATTCGATGCGGTCGATAAGGAGGTCAAACAATCTTTCGCCGTTCTCGAACGAACCATCAGGAAGCCAAGAGCTTTGATAGTCGCTTGGCTGTCTTAGCGGATATCCTCCTTGAAAGATGTTACCCGAGAGAGCAACCAATCCGAGGGTCTTTGTATTACGGCTATCTCTGCTTGGAAAATGCTACAGTGATCCGGTAGCCAAAATTTCAGGTTGATGGAGAGCTCATCGCAGAAGATGCCACCCTCCTTCGAGCTTCGATTATCCGTAAATACTTTTATTATACAAACCTTGCACTGGATTTTTTAAATATACATTTTTTAATTTATCATATCTTTGACCGTTCAAAGTCCGTTTAAAAACGTTGTTTTACTTTATTTTGCCCCTAGTTTGGCGAGTAAGTATACTGATTTTTGTCGCACAGTATAAAGCTGGGATCACACGATTTGTACATTTGGCTAAAAATTTGTCAAATTCATAGACAAATCATATGAACGCTAAATTACATTTGTCATTTATCAGAAAAGCCAAATATTTGCCTTCTTGTGGCAAATGAAAAACAACCCTGGCGGCCAAATCGTGTGAACGCAATGCTGCTACATAAGCCAAATAAAAATTACGCAAATGACCAAATATCTGATTTGCCACTTGATGACAAATGCCAGTGACAAATATACAAATATTGTTGAGCGGTATTGCCATTTCGTGCTTGTGAACCTTTGTATTTTCCAATTTTGGTAAAACTTTATTATTTAATATAATATTCGTATCCGAAAACTACCGAAAAATATCACGTTATTTGAAAACAATAATTTTAAAATATTTGCTCAAACTGAAACATGTACATATACGTATTCGACAGTAGCTGAGTGTGCAGAGAAGCGTGTGACTATTTGTAACCTTCATGAGGTCCCAGGTTCTTATGCCGACAGACGAACATATTAAAAGTATAATTAATTTCTGAATATAATTAACTATGAAAAAGCATATTTGAAGTTCAGAATGAAAAAATTCAGAAAACCAACCGGAAAAGTTTTCGCTTCACAACCCTTCGTGGCACTTTACTATTCACCTTTCTTTCAGTTTTCGGATCTCTTTCCGCAGTTTTTGCTGGCTATACATATATGTATACATACATGCATATCGTCGTATAAAGTACAAAACCGCGTATCGTCATTCTGCAAAATCGCGTAACTGACATTGGCTGCCAAAAATTGAATTTGCTCACACAAACTCTTGGCTTAATCCTTATCCATTCGTCCTGAAATATACTATCCAGAAATGCGATTGCTTTATAAAAAAGAGAACCATTTTGAAATATGAGTGTTTTTACTATCTAGACAATAATTTATGCAACCTCACATAGGCAGCTTTGCATTTTGTTGATACGCGGTTTTGTACTTTAAACGGCGATATACAGATTATTAAAGACGATCTAATTTACACTGTGTGACAAAAAAAAATGTATATAGTTTTTTCGATGTTCACAATTGTAGGTCTATTCAAGCAGTAAAATCTGCATACTCAGAATTTTAAATACACCCTCAAAATCTGGGCTTAAGGTCAAAAACCTCGTTTTTCAAAGGGTGACGCACAGGTATACTTG